TCCATGTTATTTATACTGTTACAACAATGCAAAAATCATTTTTTTTATTTTGTGATACTACATGGTCTATCACGCATAAGACATTTTCATTCCCACATTGGAGAGTAGCGCATCCTATACAGGTAAAAATGGATTAGAAAGAGTTAGGGTAAAAATAATTTTCTGATGCTATGATCTGAGTGAATGTGTCTACCCCAAATCTCTATCTTAAATCCTAATAATCCCCAAGGTGATGGAGTTGAAGGCTGGGGTTGGGGACAGTGACTAGATCACGTGGACAAAGTCTTTGTGAAAGGGCTTTGCAGTCATTTGAAGGAGGCTCTGGGATCTTGCTTCCTTTATGTTGAAGAAGCCAATGAAAAGGTATTATTACGGGACATGAATTTGTCTTGAGTTTGGAGACTCTGGCACCCAGTTGTGAAAAATAAACTTGAGTATGTGTTTTATCAGGCTTCCAGTCTAAGGTGTTTTTGTTAGAGCAGATTAGATAGGTGACGAAGACAGACAAGCTCTGATGTTATATGGGGAGCAGGTCTGATGACTCAGGCAGTACTTATGGAGTTGGGGAGGGGAGTCACAGCTGAGCCCCTCATCTCAAGTTCAGAGAAGTATAGACACAGATGGGGTGTTGTGTGGCTGGTATTTAGTTTGTGGAGGCAAAGGTATTGAGTTTCTGCAGTACTCCATGGCTCTCCCAGGGGTCTTATACCCAGCTGATGAAACGGCCTTGCTGATTTCTTTGATCTTTCTTGTCTATGGATAATTAAAGGGAGTGTTTAACCTCTCTTCTATTCTTTTTAATTTTATATTTTTGAGATTATAATATAATTACATTTCTCCCTTCCTTTTTTTCCCCTCCAAGCCCTCCTATATACCCTTTCTATGCCTCTTAAAATTCATGGGCTCATTTTGTACTAACTGATAGTACATGAACATGTATATGTTGTATAAATATAATCTGTTCAATATACATAATGTTATTTGTATGTATGTATGTTTTCAGGACTAACCATTTGGTACTAAACAACCAATTGGAATGCTCGTCCCTGGGGAGGACCACCTCTTCCACCCTCAGCTTTCCCCAGTTACCTACAGTTCTTTGTGTAGTGTTGAAGACTCACCTATTCGCCATCTAGTTTGTCATGTCCACTGGTGTCATCCTTGTTCAGCCCATGTTTGGGCAGTGATTTGGTAATAGTCTATGGATGTAGCTTCTGATGCTACTAAGAGACACATTCTCATAGCAAAGTCCCTGATCCTCTGGGATCTTTATAATCTTTTCACTCTTTCGACAGCAATGTTCCTTCAGTCTTATGTGTGAAGAATGTTTTGTGGATGTATCCATTGAGACTGGGCTCTACAACTTTGCAAATTGTTCATTAGTTGTGGGTTCTGTAGTGGTCTCTCCTCTCTTGCAAAGAGAAGTTTCCTTACTCCTTAATGTAGCTGTGATAGTGGATTCAATGTTCTTTGTGTCTTGCGATGTCTTTTGTCCCCATTTCTTATGTCGAGACCCATTATTAGATGAACACTATGTTAGAATGGCTTCGTCTTTCCATCATTTATAACATGCTCCTGTTGGCTGCTGCTACTACTTTTCCTTAAGGTCTATTTTGCTTAGCTTCATGGGTCTCCTAATGAGGGATCCGTTCTGTGAAACACATCCTTATGTGATCTCATTATCGGAACATGATAGAGTGAGCTTTTACCAGCAAAGGCAGTTACAGTGCCACTGAGTGTCTCAAGTTTACATGTGGCCCCTTATTGACAGGGACACTTTATATAGCACATGTTTGGATTAATATAGTCACAAACATGTTTTGCTTTTGTCTAATGCTTGTGGGGTATGAGTTTCCAATGTGTTATGTTTCAAGATTTTAAAAATTAACTTAAAAACATTTTGAGATGGGTTCTTGCCTTGTTACAACTACTTAATTTGAGCATGTCTATGTCAGTTTTTTTAAAAAGGAAAACAGCAGTTATTTTTAAAAGAACTTAATTCTCTAAGATACTATAAGATGTTCTGGTCTCCTTTGCATATTTTCTGCTCCAATTTAAGAAGTGGGTGTTTCTGTCAGCACTTGTACCTCTTCTTGTCACTAGGACTTCAGGTACATGAGTGCTTTTGGTTCCCAGACTGGTGCTATTCCTAGGTAATTTGAGCAGCCAGAGTATGGAAGCAGTTGTGTGTACATAAGAACCCACAGAGTACTGGTATCTGTAAGCATATATGACCATCTGCATTGGTATTTAGCCAAGCTTTAGTTTGCCCCAGTCTATAAACCTACATACTTGTCTTAGTTGCTTTTCTGTTGATGTGAAGGGACATCATGACCAAGGCAGTTTATAAAAAAAAAAAAAAAACATTTCTTGGGGCTCAGTGTTCCAGAGGGTTAGAGTCCCTGACCATCATGGCAGGGAGCAAGGTGGCAGACAGGCAGTCATAGCACTGGAGCAGTAGCTGGGAGCTACATCCTGATCCAGAAGCATGAGACAGAGAGAGAACCGAGAATGACATGGGCTTTTGAAACCTCAAGTCCACCCCTAGCAACATATCTACAAGGCGGCACCTCCAATTCTTCCCAAATAGTTCTACCAATGAGGGACCAAGCATTCAAATAGATGAGCCGTGAGGCTGTTCTTATTCAAAGTTACCACAATATCATGCTAGCCTCTTCATTGTTGTTGAGAACTGGATATGACATACCACATGGTAACAGGAATGGGCAGTGATATTTTATGCTAATCTTGCAGGGCTGGATTGCTTGGATACTCTCATTATCTGGGTACTTTATCTCCATATGAAGCTCTGACTCCCCAGTGAGACATGTGCCTCCCTTGAAGAGCAGCATTCCCCCTTATCAACACATCTTTCTTATGCAGAATCTTCTGGGCATATTTGACCAAGACAGTTCTTCCCTCCTCTTGCTAGGGTACAAGAACTATTTCGTAGTTCCTCACCATATGAGGATATGACATGATTTCTGCAGGTAAAGCCAGTGCACCAAGGTCTGTTGCTATGAATAGAACATGAAGAATTGTAGACTATGAATGAGGTTCCCACAGTGGCCTCAGTGTGTGTGTGTGTGTGTAAAATCACCATGTATAAATACTTCTTAACTTACAGATTCAGAAGCTCCTGGATCTGTCCTTGCTGGTTCTCTAGATGGGCCAGTCCCTCCAGATACCAGGGTGTGCAGCAGCGTCTTGATACTTGACTCAGAGAAGTCTATTGAGCTTTGTTTACTTTTTCCTTGTTGTAAAGATGGAAGTGAGGTCACCTTTCTCATTGTTTTAGTACTAACTTCACTCTATCTATGTTTAAGAAATCACTTTCTAAGCATCGAGCTAAACAACCTGGAGTATCTACATATCTGTAACTGACATCACTGATAAAATTTGATACATGTCTATGATGTCACTGCTAATATTTGATATGTATCTGTGATTGTACTGTGACCTTTCTTCCCTTTTCCTCTTCTAGATTATTTTTCATGCTCCCTTTTTATTCTGATTCATTAAGCATACAATATATTGCTTGGTAAATAATACATACCCAAGAATTGTGTGCCTATATTCATGACAATTTTGGACTTCTTTCTTTTCCTCTTTGTTTTTTGTTTGTTTATGGTTTTGTTTGTTTATTTTGCAACATCTTTTTCGAATTTCAATGTCAAGGCTGTACAAGCCTAAGAAAACAAGTTAGGAAACATTCTCTTGGCTTTTATTCCTGTAAGGAAGTTATATAGGATTGGATTTATTTCTTCCTTAGATAATTATAGCTGTGAGGCAACTGGGCCGAGCCTTCATACTCAGAATGTTCTTCTTGCAGTTTCAATGTTGTCTGTAGATTTTACCTGACTTGGGTTTTTCTGGTATTCCGTTCAGTAGTTTTATTAGGGTACTTCTGAAGGAGCTGTAAATACAGTCACATAAAAATCTCAACAGTGGCTGTTTATTATACCATCAAGCCTCTGTGGGATGCAAAGTGATGAGAACAAATCTTTAAAAAGAGTGGCAAATAATAAGGCAATGACTAGAATCTGGCTATCTTCAGCGTAGGAAGTGGAGCACCGTGTGACTCCTGCTCAGTAGACAGAGAGAGGAGAAAAGATGTGATTGGGTACAAGTTAATATTCTCGTAAGTACTCCAGCTCCCGCAGATAGTGCATTAGTAAAGCAGCGCTTGACTTGTAATGAATCAGAGATAAATCTCTAGCTTTGTAAGGAGAAGTTGCCAAGGGGTATCCCCTGTAAAAAAGAGAGACTCCAGGAAAGGGCACCTCAGAAACTGGTCAGTGTGGGGCAAGCTGGTCAGCAGGTAGGCTATGGCAGTTCCCAACGACATCATCAATAGTCACTTCCCTGAACAATATCTTGTATCCAGGAGAACCCTAGAATCTTCTGTGATGTCACCAGTGTTGTGGTGACACCAACTGCCTGTCGGGTATTCCTTTAGAGCCTACAAGCAGTCATGTTGTCCATGCTGCGCAGGATATTTTGTTGGGAGAATAGAATACAACCAGATATCAGACCTAGGCAGAAGGCATTACGTAAACCAGGAAAAAAGATATGGTCCTGGGGAAGACAACGTGAGTCCTGGGCAGTGGTTGGCAGAGCTTCCTGGAGGAGGGGGGCTTGAGCAGATCCTTACAGGAGAAGGGCTTATCATCTGGAACCTCGACATTCCTCAATGGCAGACCCAGAGTCAAGAATTTCTGATGATTAGTTTGGCAGAGATCCAGGAATTGACAAGCCTGCAGTTGCTTTCCTGAGAGATCTGAATTTCCTGCTTAGTGGCAAAGGATGCCAGGAGGAAGTTCTGTGAGAATAACAAAGTCTTGCTCTCAGGATAGAGTGCTGAAGCGTTTCATCCTCAATAGATTTCTGTAGGTTACATGAATATGTGATTCCAAGAACAGAGAGGGATATTTCCCTGTCATGTATCAAGATCTCAGATACTTTGGACTTGAACACACATGATGTGGGCTGAATCACAGTGTGGGGGTCTGTTGGGAAAGAATCCTCCGAAGCCTACACTATCAGTGAGCAGGAGCAGAGAATGAAGAGGTTGGAGAAGCTCAAAAGGGATCTTGAGGTGATGAATAACGAGAGAGATGAACTCCCGGGAATCCTGGCACTTTATACTAACAAGGATTTGAACGACAGGATCAACTTTGAGACCATGATGCTCGAGATGCAACATGACCAGGTGATGACCGATCTCAAGAAAATTCCTCAGGAGATCAGTGAGGCCATGGACAAGTGCAAGGAGCTGACTAAAGAAAATCAATGTTACTGCATCAGCAACTGTCACCTCCTGACAGAGTCTCTTCATATGAAGAACCAAGTAAAAATTCTGTGGAATGAGAACAGGCAGCTGCTAAGGGAGCAGATTGCACTGGAAGAGTGTTCTAAGGAAACAAAGAGGCTATGTGTGGAGGCCAGCATCAAGATATACGACAAATATACCAAGCAACAGCACCAGCAGTTGTTCATTTCCGTGATCATTTACAAGATTTTCTATGGACTTAGCCTCTTTCAAGAAACTGGATGATTGGCAAGCAACCCCTCCTACTCAACTACAAGCTGCAGTTCATTAAGATAGATACGTTGAACACACTTTACACACCTACATGCCATTATGCTAGTTGAGTTCTATGTGGGTGCCTCCTTTGTAGTAGCACAGGACATTGAGTGATGTAGTCAGAGCCTGTAGCTCATTTTCTTTGGACCCATGGCTCCAGCTGCATATGTAGGGGATGATGACATAGGTGTCATCCTTGTCAGACATAGGTGGGAGAGGAGGTCCTTGGTCCCATGAAGGCTGGGTGCCCCAGTGTGGGGGAATTCAAGGTGGGTTGAGAAGGTGGTTGGGAGTGCATCCTTGTTGAAGGAGGAGGAGGGGGGATGGGATAGGGGGTTTCTGGGTGGGGGGGATGAAGAAATGGAATAACATCTGAAACAAATATCCAATAAAAAATTATTAAAAAAAGACAAATGAAAATGAAATTTAAAATTTACATACATATCAATTAAAGCATGAAGACCTTCCTAAAGATCAGAATAAAAATTGAAAATGAGAGTATAATGCATATTGAAAGTAATTTAGTAAATGTATCAAATATTTAAAAATTAAAATTCAAAATAGTAACATGATCTATGACCTATAAGGACACATTGGTAAGCTTTATTCACTAATTAGGATACAAATTTACTTTCTAATCTGATCATAAATACTAACCTCAGTTGTTTCTTTCAATACTGGAAGACAGACTCTAAAAACCACACTTTTATTTGATCTGTTTTAAAAATTGAAATGATTAGAGACATGGTGATGGGAAACAAGTTAATCACACTATATATTGAGGCCAGGCAGTGGTGGCGCACCCCTGTAATCCCAGCACTTGGGAGGCAGAGGCAGGCGGATTTCTGAGTTAGAGGCCAGCCTGGTCTACCGAGTGAGTTCCAGGACAGCCAGGGCTACACCCTGTCTTGAAAAAACAAATACAAACAAACCAAAAAAAAAAAAACTATTAGAAAGCCCTCCCTCTTCCCCTTTTCCTTCTTTCTCTTTCTTCCTTTCTCCCTTTCTTCCTTTCTTCCTCCCTCCCTCCCTCCCTCCCTCCCTCCCTCCCCCCCTCCCCCCCCCCCTCTCTCTCTCTCTCTCTCTCTCTCTCTCTCTTTCTTTCTTTCTTTCTTTCTTTCTTTCTTTCTTTCCTTATGCTGCAGCTTGAATCTGGAGCCTTACACATGAAAGGCAAGGACCCCACTGCTTAGCTACATCTTCAGCCCTTATAAGAAATTCTTGTAATAAAAGCACCAAGAAACCAAAAGAAGTCCCAGCCTGATGGCCAGGAGAACATGGACATTTGGAGAGATGAGACTGCATGCGACATTGTTGACATTGTTTCTGAATGAAAAGGGCCTGCAGGTTCAGAGCATCTGAGTAGAGACTGCGGCATGGATTTGGTGACTGTGATTATAGGAAACGAAAGTCAGCCTTCGAGCTGTTAAGATCTCTGTGTATCCTCTCAAACCCATTTGCTGGAATCTCAGTCCTTGATGTACTAGCAAAGCAAGTTCTCCTAGGAGGTATTTCGGCTGTGAACAGATTCATGCCACCACAAAAGATGGGCTTGCAAAATCAGCTTTGCTCTCTGCTCTCCATCAAGGCAGGACTGCCTTCTGGTCCTATGCTGCTTCCCAGATTGCTCTCCATCTTGTTGCTTGAGACAGGGACTCTCACTGAACCAGAGGTTCACCATTTTGGATAATCTGGCCAGTGAGCACCTAATATTAGGGCCAGAAATGGTTTTCTATGGCCTACTGCTGTGGTAACAGGCACATGTAACCACACTCAGTGTTTTATATGGGTGCTACTGATTTGAGCTCAGGTCCTTAATGCCTTTAAAGCAAGTGCTCTCACCCGGTGAGCCATCTCCCTTGTTCTTGATTTTTAATACAAATTTGACACACATCACAGACAAACCTAGATATATCATTTGCTGTACATAAATATCTGTGTACGTATGTAAATATGCTTGCAAAGATATCTATTACCCCCATAGCCATGGCTATTAAACCAATTTAATGTGAGTTAGCATCAAACACAAGTACTAGAGCACTATTGTGTTGGAACATTTTCATGCTGATAAAGTAGTCTAATTTGTATTAAAAGAATAACAAATTTGTTTTGTAAAGGATATAATTCCCTAACTCTGAATTTCCCATTTTTTTAAAGTGATAATAGAGGCAGAAATGTTTCAGGCAAGCCATAGGCCATGGGCCCTTTGTTTCTTTGTAATTCCTTTCTTTCTTCCAAGTTATTCTTACTGTGCAGAGAGCATAACCAAACACCAGACGATAGAGCATTTTTCCCTCCTGCAAGAGCAGCACAAAGTGCTGTTTTCTCTCTGAGGAACAGTAGACAAAAGAGACATGTTTTACGGCAGTTAACACGCAGCAAGCAACACACCAGGGCAGGGGAGAGCTCTTCAGAGCTCCACTCTGACAGCAGAATTCATTCTGCTAGTTCTGATTCTTTTGATAATCACCAAAAGCTCATACCTTAAGCTGGCTAAGAGCCAAAGTTCAAAAGCCTTCATCCCCATGTCTTACTCCAGCCAGTTCCATCTGCACGGACTCACCCAGAAACACTGTGGCAGGTGGTTCAGTGTCCTGTTCACACACTCCTATCTGGGAGTCTGCCTGCTCTCACATGAAGATGCCCACTTCTGCTCTCTTGACATGTCACCCTATACATGCACATGCACAACACATACATACACATATGTGTGTGAGGAGGGTTACTGCTGAGCAGGATCACTCTTTGACCCGTGTAAGTAGGAATCAGAAGACAAATGATCCCTCTATTATGCTCAGAAGTGGCTAGCTCAGAGCAATGACAATGGGGTATCTGAGTGCCCTCAGTGTCATTTCTCTTCTGCAGTGGACACCTATGTCTATTGGCTCTTTCTTTTCTTCCCCACATCCTATCTGCATTCTTGCTCTCTGGAATTATTTTCTAAACTCCCAGGAATCCTTGTCTCAGTCTCTGCTTTCAGGAAAACCTAAGCAAAGAAACAGGAGCAACAGTACAATTGTTGTTCCGTACAGCTAGTGTTGCAGGGTCCCAGGGCCTTCGGGGATGCTTGGATCTCGGACAGAATGTTGCTGTCATTCTCTTGCCCTTTCTTCTCTCATCTCCTTTCCTCTAGGAAAGTCTCACTTGTGTATACAACAGAAACCTCTCCTAGCATCAGCAAGGAAGCAAACTTCAGTGAGTCGTGGCCTCCCATTTGGAATAGGAGATCTGGATGGGGACTTAAGTTACCACGGACAAGGCTACAAGTTCCATCCTCACCCAGAGGTTGAGGAAACCAGGCACCAGGACTACCCAGGCTGGGATGAGCAGGGGTGGGAAGAACTGCTTCTAATAGTGTTGAAAGCAAATACTACATGAATCCAATGTTTCCATAGAAGCAGATGATGTGGACCACCAAGCTGTCCATACTCCACATGTAGGACATCTGCTATGCAGCTCCATACTCATAATTTGTCAGAACTGCACCTCACATATACAAACCAAGATAATAAGGGCCAGTAAACGAACAGCCTTTATGTGGCCTTGTGTGGATCTCCTCCTCCCTAAATCTTTCTTGGATTCAACTTATGGGTTTGTTCCTCGCTATTTCCCAATTTCTTGTCTATCTGTCTGTCCAAGCTCTAAGATTATGCTGGACAGAGCTTTAACAGCCCTGCTCAAAGGCTCCTTATTGAAAGGAACAGCTTACTGAAGGGTTCTGGTAGCTGTTCTAGGCCCAGCTATGGTTCCTAGAAGTACTTCCTTCAAAGCTGCGCAGTTCTCACTCTTAGTGTGTTGAAGGCTGGGTTCCCCACACCACCACTTGTAGTGGAAACTTCTGGTTTCTTTGGAAAGTCAATTATGTCAAACATTTCTTTGAAGCGGAAATGGGTGAAAAGATGTTCTGCTAAAGCAGACATGTGAAAGGATGCACAAAGTTAAGAAAGACTCAACAGACAGAAGACAATGCTAGATGGTATTGGTACACCTTACCACTCCTTAATGGTCATGGTTTTTGTGACTTTATACAAAGAAATGCATCACAGATCTTCTGATGGTGTTTTGGTAGCTTCTTGCTGCTTCTGCATACTCTGGATGATTGACAGAGTGATTGATGTCAGTTGATACAGACTCACATGGAATTTTGCTAAGACAGTGACTGCAGGCTTGCATAGCTAGATTTGCAATGCTTCCTTGGTCTCAAGTCTTTGTCTTAGCTGATCTTCACTTCCTTGAGAGAGGCACAGCAGAAAACTTCTCCTGGCATCCTAGCTGGTCCTGGTTGCTCCTACTGACTGTGCCAAGGCCTGGCTGTTACTGCTGGATCATGCCACCACTGCTGGTTTGTGTTTTCTATCCTGACACTACTGAAGTGGACTGCTGGTATATATCCAGACAACACAGATTGGATTTGCCCCAAAGAACTATTTCTAACAGGCCCACTTCCCTCATATCCTAATAACCTTCCTTTTCCACTACCTTTGGTGGGTGGTAGACTAAAAGGTGGGTTAGAACATTTAAGAACTCTTATTAAAAGTAGGTTTTGAAAAATCTAAGCCTATCACCACTGGCTTATATTTAGAAATTTTTTTTTGGAGACAACGCTGTTTTAAAGTTCAAAATACCTAAGGGTAAATAGTTGAGTTAGGAGATTAAGCATGGCTGGTATATACTGCCATATATAGAACCAGTTTGTTCTAGCTTCATTCCTGTTGCTGTGATAAAATACTCTGACAAAACAGCAACTTAGGGCAGAAAGTTTATTTCATCTCACAGTGCCAGATCACAGTCTGTCCCTGGAGGGAAGTTAAGGCCACAGAAACTTGAAACAACTAGAAACATCACATCCATAGTCACGATCAAAGGGAAATGATGTGTACTCAGTATTTTAGGAAGCAGAGAAAACCCTGAGTGAGTGACGTCCAGGGGGAACTGTGAGCTGTTGATATGGGCAGAACCATGACGAAGAC